TCAGCCAGCAGCAGCAAGACAGCCGGCAGCAGCTCGCTGCTGCGCCTGCTGTATTTGCTGCTGCAGCAATCTGCTGCTAATAGATCAACAACAAGAAGACAAAACAACCAACCAACAGCAGATGCTGCTGCTCTTGCTGCTGATCCTCCTGCTGCTGCTGCTGCTGCTGCTGTTGCTGCTGCTGCTGTTGCTGCTGCTGCTGGTATTGCTGTTGCTCCTGCTGCTGCTGCTGCTGTTTGTTGCGGCTCTGCAGCAGCAGCAGCAGCAGCAGCAGCAGCAGCAGCAGCAGGAGCTCCAGCTCCAGCTGCTGCTGCTGCACTTCCTGCTGCATATCTGCTGCTGTGTATTATGTCTCTTTGTGTATATTCTGTCTCCTTTGTTTCTTTATTTTTTTCTTTTTCTTTTTTATTTTGTCTCTCTTCTGTCTCCTCTGTCTCCTCTATTGCTGCTAATACTTCTCTCGCAGCAGCAGCACACCGCCACAGACATTTCAATCGACTATGAAGACCACCAGAAAAAGCAGCAGCAGCAGCAGCTGCTGCTGCTGCTGCTGCTCCTGATGATGCTCCTGCTGCTGCTGCTGCTGCTGCGACGGGGCCCCCGCAGAGCTCTGTGTTGCTGCTGGCGGCGTGGAGGCTGCAGCAGCTGCCTATACACCTCAGCGCCCCCTCTGCTGCTCTCAAGAGTTCCCCTCTGCTGCTGTTGCTGCTGCTGCTGCTGCTGCTGCTGCTGCTGCGCTGCAGCAGCAGCTGCTCCTGCAGCTCGCGCAGCAAGACTGTGTGGCAGGCCAGCTGGAGGCACTGCAGGCTGTCGTCACCACAAGCTGCAGCACCAGCAGCAGCAGCAGGGAGCCACCGCTGCTGCTGCTGCTGCTGCTGCTGTTGCTGTTGCTGCTGCAGAAGACGCAGCAGCTGCTGCGCCTTTGCTGCAGCAGCGCCGCTGCTGCCCCCAATGGGGTGTACACGCAGCTCTTGCAGCTTGAGCTTGATGACAGTACGAAAAAGAGGGAGATCTTGCGAAAACAACATTTGCTGCTGCTGCTGCTGCTGCTGCTGCTGCTGCTGCTGCTGCAGCACGTCCTGCAGCAGCAACGAGGCAGTGCTCAGGCAGCCCGGGAGCCTCGCTAGCTGCTGCGCTGCATGCGCTGCAGCGCAGCAGCGGACGAAGCAAACTGTCTCCTCTGTCTCTGT